GTCAGTCCCACCAACCCCTCTGCCCAAGGCCTTTTTCAGCTGGGGAGACAGGCCCAGGGAAAGGAAGTGACTCTTCTAAGAACACGTCGCAAGGACACAAATGCCAGGCTTCCTCGTGCTCGCCAGCCTGGAGGTTGGAGGAGCCTGGGATGCCCCCTTTAGAGACGGGGAGAAGGGACCCACCTTGGCTCCCTCCCTCCTTTGGGGAGAAGCACTAAGGCAGGAACATACTCTTTGCTCAGATTCTTGGGGGCAACGGAAGCTCTCTGCCTAGTGGCAGGGAAAACTCAGCTCTGGACAGGCCAGACCCGACTCCCCACCCACTCCTGATGCCTGGAGTGGGGTGGGGAGTCGTGGGGCCGGTAGGGGCACCTTGAGCTACCTGGACCCGTTCTAAGTTAACCCTTTCCCCCAGGGTGACTCCCCAGGTATATGTACAGTGAATGTCTCAGCCACACCGCATTCATTATTCCACTTGATAAAGATTTATTGAGTGACTACTATGTGCCAGGCAATGTACCAGGCACCGGAAATAGTTTCCTCCCTCTCTTCCTCCCATCCTCCTACCCTCCTTTCCTTCCTGCTCATTCTTCATTCATTCATTCATTCATTCATTCACTCATTCATTCAGTAACTACTTAAACCATTGAGGCAGCACAGCTTTATGGGCGGCAGCGATATTTGGAGCTAGACTATCAGGATATGAACCCTGACTCAGTCACTTACTGGCCGTGTGAACTTGGCAAGTCATGTAAACTTGATTTCCTATCTGTAAAATGGTGATAATAATAGCACCTTCCTTGTAGGGTTGTGATGAGGATCGAATGATGCCGGCTAAGTGTCTGGAATAGCACCTGACATAGTAAACACTTCACAAACATTAGCTATTATCATTGTTATGATGTGCCTGGCACGGTGCCAGGCACGGAGGAAATTGCTGTCAAGCACTCCCTCACGGGGATCCTGCATGTCTCAGTCCGCCTCTTTCCACCCTGGTCTTCCTCCTCCGGCCCCTCAGCCCGGCCTCCGGTCCTAGGGACTCTGCTTGGACTCATGGAAGCTCAGGGAGGCAAGAAGGGGAAGCTGATGGCTCAGGGGACCAGGGCTGTGAGGAGCTGGAGCATGTGTCTGGGCTCCTGGGTTCAGGCCTGCTGTGCAACGGGGGTGACCCCTCCCACGCCTGAGATGAGGACAGTGGGCTGGCTGGGCTCTGTCATCCCTGCCAGCCGAGACTTGGCGTCTAGAGCCTGTGACCAGATGAATGACGTGGATTTGGGGGAGCTGGCTTTAGAGGACCCCCCTCTCATTTCTGCTGAGGCTAGAGTAGACCCGCTGTGGCCCACTGTGAAATGTGCCCACGGGGACCAGTGTGCTGTGCGTGAGCTTGCAACCGCAGGGGCTGTGGTGGTCCCAGAGCCAGTCTGCAGCCGCTGAGAGCAATGGGCCCTGCGCTACACTCACTATCCGTGCGGCTCTGGATACGGAATTGCTTTTCCATGCCTCTGTTTCCCCATCTGTAGACAGCACTCACATGCCCACCCCACCAGCACTAGCAAGTGGCAGCAGTCCAGACGGTGAGGCTCAGTGGTTGAGCATCGACCTATGAACCAGGAGGTCATGGTTGGATTCCTGGTCAGAGCACATGCCCGGGTTGCAGGCTCGATCCCCAGTCCGGGGTTGGGGGGCGGGGGGGAGGGGGCAGCGTGCAGGAGGCAGCCACTCAATAATTCTCTCCCATCATTGATGTTTCTATTTCTCTCTCTCCCTCTCCCTTCCTCTCTGAAATCAATAAAAATATATTAAAAGAAAAAAGGAAAATGGCAGCTGCCATTGTAGTTATGGGTCCCAACCTCCCTCCCTCCACCTTGCCTGGGGCTCTGGAGCAGGGTGGGTGTTCCAGGTCTCAGGCCAACATGGGGCCTGCCCAGGCCCCCGGCTGGGTTGGGAGCCCTCCTCCTGGGAAGGGAAACTTGCTTTGGAGTGCTCCTGCCAACCCCTCCCTCCAGGCTTGGCAATGTGAAGACAACGCTGGCCAAAAATATTTGTGTGGGTGGCGGAAAGTTAACTTTTCCGCCTCTCTCTTCTTTCCTGGAAACCGTGGCCACCGTCAAATACAGCAAAACAGAAGCAGGGATAGAGCGAGGAGAGGCCCCTGTGGGGCGTCAGAAGGAACCCGGCCCCCATGCCCACTCCTCCTGCCTCCAGCCATCTGGCCCTATGGTGGTGTGGGCGGCGGGTGGGGGCTCCAAGTGCTGAGAATCATGGCATCCTGCGATGCCAGGGCTAGACAGACACCCCCTCCCCAACATCCTTTGTCCCAACCCCACCATTGTGCCTTTGAGCAAAATGACTCCAGACGGCACCTGCCCAAGGTCACACAGCCAGTTAGGGCTCTTCAGAAGTCTACTGGCCTTTTATGAGATTTTAAGATTCTTTGAAATTCTAATGGCAGAAACCGGGCAGCAGCTGAAGCATGAGAATGAATTCGGAGAACAAGGCCCTCGAGCTCTCTCTGCTGGGTCTCCGGGCCCACATCGCGGGCCGGTGTCAGAGCTGGGGTCAGATCTTGGCCTGGCGCTCTGTGACTTAGACGAGAAGTCACTTTGCCCATCTGAGCCTCAGTTTCCTCACCTCTGCAAGGGGATAATAGTAACTGTCCCTCCCTCGGGGTTGTTGTGACGGTTTACTTCGAGTGCCTAGGTCAGCGGTTCTCAACCTGTGGGTCGCGACCCCTTTGGCGGTCGAACGACCCTTTCACAGGGGTCGCCTAAGACCATCCTGCATATCAGATATTTACATGACGATTCATAACAGTAGCAACATTACAGTTAGGAAGTATCAACGAAAATAATTTTATGGTTGGGTCACAACATGAGGAACTGTATTTAAAGGGCCAGAAGGTTGAGAACCACTGGCCTAGGTGAAGAGCCCCGCACCCAACAGGTGTTCAATCTTGTGAGCACCCATTCCTCTCTCGACAGAGGCTGGCTTCGTGGCGCTGACGTCTCTGTCAGCGAGGCAGCTGTAACAGGTGCCCGTTATCTTTCTGATCCCGATACTTGTTTGCCTTCCCCAGTTTGGCATTGATTTTCCCCAGGGCCTGGTAATGTGCTTACCTTTCCTCTTGCCTACCACACTCTCCCTGGCACAGCTCCAACCAGAAGTGGAGGCCCTGACCCAGCCTGCTGGGGTGGGGGTGTGGGTGCCTAGGGACCGAGGCCTGGCCTCCAGGTCAAGTACCACAGCAGCTGAGGCCAGTCCAGGCCCTGAGGTCACCAATGTGCACAGACTTTCACAATTCGCAGGACTCTCCCTGCCCCTGGGGCAGCCAGGGTGTGTGTAGGGTTCTCCTCTCCCTGTTTGCAAAGGGCGAGATTCAGATGTTCGCACTCGCGGAGTTCACACGGCTAAGTGGTGGAATCAAGATCTGTTAACCGAGATCCGCAAATTCCAAGCTTTCCTCCACTGGCCCGGGCTTAGGTCTCCCTGCCCATCTTGGAGCATCTTGTTCACCTCCACTTGGTGCCTCCACAAATGGCTTGCAAACCTTTGTCTCCAGCCTGGAACTCCCCCTGCTCTCCAGGCCCTCGTGTGGCGTGACTGCGCTCATCTCCCCCGGAAATCCCAAATCGAATGCATCTCCCTGCTCCCCTGAACACCTGCTCCTCGGCTCCTTCCCGTTTATTCCTGATCTCTATTGATGAAAATCACGAAACCACACTGTCACCAGAGCTGCATCCTAGGCTCCTCCCCCTTCCTCCACACCCACACTCCATCTGCCTCCCAGCCCGGCCAATTCTTCCACCCAAGTTTCTCTCCCATCCATTCCCCCCTCGCATCCCTACAGGCAGCCTCCATCCCCTCTCTCCTGTGTAATCATCATAGTTAACATTTCTAAATCATCGTGCTGTTATTATTATTCCCTATTATCATCCACAGCTCCCACCACCACCGGATTTTAAGGCTTCATGAGCCAGACTACCATATCTTTTTTATCTCCACCGTATCCCCCAGACCTTTTATAGTGTCTGAAATGTGATAGGAACTCAAGAAATCTTTTGTGGGATGAAGAACTAGCCAACATGTATTAAGTTGCATCTCAGAAACTGTGCTAAGTCCTCCGCATGCATTTTCTTAATATTTTTTTAAAATATATTTTTATTGATTTCAGAGAGGAAGGAAGAGGGAGCAAGATAGAAACATCAGTGATGAGAGAGAATCATTGATCGGCTGCCTCCTGCACGCCCCCCTACTGGGGATAGAACTCGCAACCCGAGCATGTGCCCTGACTGGGAATCGAATCGTGACCTCCTGGTTCATAGGTCGATGCTCAACCACTGAGCCACACCGGCTGGGCTCACTTAATCTTTCATGCAACACTATGTTGGAGATATGATAGTTCCCATTTTACAGATGGGGAAGCTGAGGCTCAGAGAGGTCAAGCGACTTGCTGCCCATCATGTGAGCAAGTGGCAGAGCTGGGGTTCCAGCCGAAAGCCTGTCATGTAAGCACATCACTGCACCGTCTCCCTTGGTGCACAGCCTTCTCAGGGGTCCCTGTCCCCAGCCTTGCGCCCTCTGTCCACCGTTTCTGTGCTTCCTGTGGCATAGGTACCTTTGGTGGACGTGCGAGAATTCTTTCTCGGGGGTGCCCAGCTAAGTATTGTTAAATAACTAGATATTTATTTAATGTGTATGGGGGGAAATGACTTAGCCCAACATACTTGTGGTTTTCCTGCAATGATTGCTTAAGTCCAAAGTAATAGAAGTTATATAAAGTTGATTTACAGAAAAACATTAAGCAAATAAAGTGTCAAATGGCAGAAGGATATGGCAACAAGTGGGGATGTGGAGTGCCTGGAGCTTGGCACTTTCCCATGGACGTGTGTGGGAGCTGGACCCCCAGCCCGTTCTCAGGGCGACCCAGGGGGACAGGCTCACGACCTCAGCCGGAGCGGCCAGCGAGCGCCTCATGTGCTGTTTCCTCTCTCCCTGCGCAGACAGATCGTCTTGAAGTGGGGGCCTCCCTGACCAGAGACGGGTTAAGAAGGAGAGCGCGGGGCCCACCACCCCACCCAGCCCAGGAAGGCCGGCAGTGGGACCCCGCCCAGCTCGGTGCGTTGCCGGAGGAAGTTAAAGCTGCAGAGGAGTCCCGGAGAGGCTCCCACAGGTGGCCTGCATCACTGCGGAGGCGGCACCATGCTGGGCCCCCACCTGCCACCCCCACCCCTCGGACCCAGCGAAAGCCGGCCTGCCCCCTGCGCCTTCCGGATCCCGGATGGGAGCTACAGGTGCCTGGCCTTGGAGGCTGAGGAGAGCGGTGGCGAGGAGAGCCTGCAGGGAGAGGCAGGGCTTGCGGACTTGGAAGAGGACAGGGTGGCCAGCAGGCATGGGGACAACTCCATCTACAGAGCCACCCCAGGGGCACCGGAGCTGCCCAAGGCCCTGGGCCTCCAGCCACCCAGCTTCTCCAGGGAGGCACACAGGGACCCCCAGCATGACGACAGGGCCAGCCAGGACTGGGACGTGGTGAAGGCCCGGCAAGTGATGACAGCCAGCCCCAGCCCCAGCCCCAGCCCCAGCCCTGGGCCCAGGATTCCCCAGAAACCAGGTAAGCTCATGTCCCGTTTCCCCTGGACTTAACACAGGGGCTTTGACCATATTTTCCCATGATGCATTACAGCCCATCACAGGCCCACGGGCACGCCCAGATTGACGGCTGTGGAGACCACGGGGAGGCTGTGAGCTGCATGCAACTCCAGCTGTCCCACATCTAGGGCCATCTCTCTGCTAAAGGGGGCCCGCGAAAAGGCGGTGAGAGAAAGCTGTGCTAGCGCGCTTGGTTGAAAACTTTTGTCTGCCCTTTAGTCGTTGGTGCTAATAAATGACTGGAGAGTGTGAACAGCGGATGGGGCGGGACTGCCTGGTTGAAGGTATTGAGTGCCGGCTACCCGAGGGTGCTGGGGACCCAGCACTGGGCAAAACAGGTGTGGTTGCTGCCCCTCACGGAGCTTATGAGGTGGAGACTGAAGACTGATCTAGTCTGACCTCCTAATCTTACGGGGGGTGGGGGTGGGGGGTGGGGGACAACTGAGGCCCAGAGTGAGGAAGCTAAGGACCAGGTCACTCAGCCTGTGGGTGGCCGAGCCGGATGCACACTCCTCACCCAGGCCTCGGTTGTCCCTCTGGTAGAGAGGACAGAGGCAGCACCCACATCACCTGGGCTGTGGTGAGGACCCAACCACAGGGGTGGGGGAGAGCTCCGTGCGTGCGAGCTGCCCGCACAGAAGGAAGGAAGGCAGGAAGGGCGATAACAGGCGGCAGGCATCCTCAGAGCAGGGCGGGTCAGGGAAATCGACACTGAATCACCTCCACCGCCCGCTGGCCCATGGAAACGCTGAAGTGGGTCCAGATGGGGAGGACGTAAACTGGGCCGCGCTCGCTCAGGCCCAGGAGGGCTTGTGCGTCAGAAAACTGAAAGAACACTTCATTTCTCTGCAGGCGTTGCTGACGCCCCGGTTGGCATCTCACCAGCCATCCTGCCCACTCTTTTTTCTGAAATAATTCTTTCCGGGCTCTGATCACCCACCCCCATGGCCACCCCCCACCACCTCCCACACTTGGGTCCACAGCGAGGGGCTGTCAATGCATCTGGGGCAGGAAGGAGGAGGGCCCCGCAGCCTTGAACTTGCAGGTGGGCCCTCACACCAGCGTCAGCCCACATTCAGTCCCCCTGGAGCCTGCAAGCCCAGGACTTGCTTCCTTCCCTCTCACAGACCAGGGCTGGGGGCCAGGAGACACGGGTGCTGGTTCTGGGACCAACTAGCCAAACCCCAGCCAATCCCTGCCCCTGGGTGAGCCTCGGTTTCTTCATCTGTGAAAGTGAATAAAAATATGAGCCCTATCTACTTCATAGAGCTGTTGTGAGCTACAGCGATCTTAGATGGGGCAAGGTTCTAGAAATGTTAGAGTAACCTAGAAAAGCATGTAAAGATGTTAATCGTTAAAATGCCCATCATCTGCTCAACAATACAACAGCCATTATTTGTTAAGCCCTCTGTGCCAGGCCCACGGCGCTAAGAGCTTTACACATGTCATTTCATTTCTTCTCATAAGGATCCCAGGAGGGACATTCTGTTATTCTCTCCCATACACACATGAGAAGACTGAGGATCAGAGAACATATGTGATTTGTCCTAGATTCATGGCTAGCAAGCCGCTAAGCCATGATCCAATCACAGCTTTTTTTTTTTTTTTTTTTTTAAATAAGGGGCTTTGGCCGTGGCCACCACTGTATTCTGGATTTATAAGGGAGAAGTGTGGTCTGCTGACACCTGGAGTGGAAGAGACCATAGAAGGAGAAGGGAGAAGAAGGGACTATATTAATGAATCCTGGAGCTTGGCACTTTCCCATGGACGTCTGTGGGACCTGGACCCCCAGCCAGTTCTCAGGGCGACCTAAGGGGACAGGTCTCACGAACTCAGCCGGAGCGGCCAGCGAGCTGCCTCATGTGCTGTTTCCTCTCCCTGCGCAGATAGATCGTCTTCTCGTATGGAGCTAGATCTTTAGTGTCTCCTCATTGATCTCACTACAGCCTCTCAGGGCACGAATGTACGAATGTTCCCATTGTACAGGTGAGGCAACTGAGGCTCGGAGACTGAGGTCCTCTGCTCAAGGTCACCAAATCCGTGTTGGAGCTGAGACCAAGAGCGTGCTCTTGCCTCACAGTCTAGTTCATTCCTCTCTTAAACACCCAGCCAGATGGTCCTCCAGTTCTGCCCTGAACATTTCTAGAGATAGGAGGCAGAGTGACCTCAGGAGGATGGAATGGCAGGGAAGACTTCTCAGAGGTGGAGGCAGGAAGGGGGCTGGCTCTTGCAGGAGAGTAGAAATCGGGTGCTCTGGGGCCAGAGCCACACTGGCCTTCTGCTCCCTTGGGGAGGGGAGTGGTCAGAGTCCCTCCTCTCTGCCCGGAGAGCCGGAGGGAAGAGGCCAATGGAGCTGCCAGGTTATTAGTGGATTAGGGCTTCCTTTTAAAGCTTCCTCCCGTCCCCCTAGAGGACTGTAAGCATCTTCAGACAATTATACCCGTCCTTCCACAATTATAACTGCCTCTCTTGACAGCTTTAAGTATGGGTCATGACATCTTCTGCCTCAGGTACCCACCACTTGGATGGGTGGGTACCAGTGCCATTGCTCTAAGGCTTGAGTACCAGCTGAGCAGGGCAGAATGGGGTCCTTGGCCGGCTGGAGAGTCAGGGGGTACAGACAGATGAGGTGGGCAGCAGTTCAAGTTCCCCGCCACCAGCTGCTGCCAACTGGGGAGAATATACAAGGGAAGGAAAGTGTCATGTGGGGCTCATTATTAGGCCTCAGCCCGCACTCCTTAGTCCACAGCTCACCAAGAGAGCCCCATGAGGCCCAGAGAATGTCCTCTCTGCAAAGTCTCAGCTGGTCATAACAGGAAGGACTCATTGAGATCACTGTGGAGACTCTGAAGCCCAGAGATGGCAATCAACTTGTTCAAAGTCACACAGTAAGTCGGTGGCAAAGCTAGAGCTAGAACCCAGGGCTTCCTCCTCCCAGCTCAGCCACCAGGCTCTGTGCTAAATGCTTTGCATGGGTTACTTCATTTCATCCTCTAATTAACCCTAGAAAATTCATACTTTTTTTTTTATCTGTTTCACAGATGAGGAAACCAAGGCAAAACGAGTGTATGGCTTACTTCATTTCATCCTCTAAATAACACTAAGAAGTTCATACGTTTCTTATTTCTGCTTCATAGATAAGGAAACTAAGGCCAAGTCTCAGGCCTGAGGCTGGAGGAGCTAAGAGTTGAACCCTGGGAGGTGTGGTCCATGCTTTACACTACCCTCTGTACTGCCTTGTCTCCATGGAGCTGAGGCAGCAGGCTGAGTTCTTCCACCCACTGGGGCTGGGAAAAGGTTGCTCAGGCTCGGCGGGTGGCAGGGGGTTCTGTGAAGTCATCTTCTTCCCCCATGGAGACACTCAGGGAGGCGTAGGATTCACGCTGACCTCACTCGTGGCTTTGGGAAGGTGACTTCCCCTCCTCTCCAGGCCGCTTGGTATTGGAGGTTTGGGGTATCTGGAGGGACACTGCCTGAGCCTCTGGGGTGGATCTGGGTTGTCAGATGAGCCCGGCCCCTGGCCATGTCTATCTAGAGGAAGCAGAGGAATCCGTGCGCATGAAAAGAGCTGACGGTGGTCACTGGCCAAGGACATGGCCCCTGCTCCTCCGTCCTTGGGAGAGAGGGCAGTCAGAAAGGCAGGGCGCCACCCACTGCTCCTCCTACTCCCCAACTCTACAGGGACAGTAATAGGAGGGTGATGGTGTGGGAGCAGGGCTCACTGGTTCATGTATACCTCACATGTACACAAACACACACACAAACATGCATGTAAACATGCATAGTGTATACACATCTCGTTGTTATGCAAACGTGTGTATACTCACATCTGCACACACATGCACACATGTGCACACGTGCATGCCCTCAGGCACCCACACACCCATGCATGGGGTATACATCCATAAACACCCTCCCACAACCCCCCCCTGACCCATACATGCCTTTCACACGTATCAGATTTGCATACATAGCTATAGTGCCACCTGAAACATATAAGCACACAGATTCCCTCCCTTAGATACAGGTGAAATCATGGTCTTTTCTCCATTTTCTCTTGCTCACACACCTACACTTTGAAATCTCTCTTACATATGCACACATTTTCTTTTACAGGCATATCCACTCTTGCACGCCCACTGTCACACACCTACGTACAGAACGAACCACTTTCTGTCCTCCTTCCTCTCCCCATCTCTTTCTCTTTCATACCCACCCACACAGTAATCCTAGCCTCTCTCTCCTCTCTCTCACCCACACAGTTTGTTTCCTGGTTTCCCACAGGCTGGGCTGTAGCCACTTTCTTCGCACACACACTCACAGGGCAGGCAACACACCCTGCCTCATGCCAATCTCCAGGGCCCCTCTGTGCCTCCCACCCCCACCTGGGGCAGGCCCAGCACAAGAGCATCCACGGTGTTGGGGGGATTCTCTGTGACCCAGGAGGCAGAGCGGCCAGGGAGGGCTTGTCATCTGTCACCTGACCAGCACTCTGAGCCCGCCCCCTGGGGCCAGGGAACGTCCCCAAACCAGGCCACCTGCAGTTCCGTGTTTGGGTACCCAGCAGCTCGTTTCTGACTTCCTTTAGCAGAAATCTAAGCACAGAAAGAACTGGACATAAAAGACAAATGAAAGTGGAACCACCCTGGTTGAAGGGCTGGGGTACTTGGAACCCAGGGAAACTTCGGTGAAAACCCAGGCCAGCATCTTTCCACGTGTGGTTTTGTGTCAAAATTTTGGGAGAGTGAAGGGTGCTTGCTCTCAGGCCTGTTTCCCAGCCCCGTAGTACGTCTCCCTTTCCCTGGGCAGGGGCACCAGAATTGGGACTCTGGACTTTTAGCAGCATCCCATGTGATTCCCATCGCACTGATTGCTGCCTGCCGGGCTCTGCTGGGCTCAGTCCCAGTGGAGTTTAGTTCAATGAGAAGATGGGGAGCTGAAGCCCAAGAGGCACAGGGCTTTCTGGCCCTTGTTGCTGGCCCACTGGTTAAGTCAGGGGACAGCCCCAGGCTGCAGGGGGGGAGGTTGACAGCCTCCCTCGGTTCTCATCTCCCTACGTTCTAGTCTAGTGACTGGGGCTGAGGGCAGGAGGTGGCTGCAGAGGGTCCTGCACCTGGTCTGAACGTGGGGGAGAGGGAGGCGGCGCTAGTTATGGGGAGAGAATCACAGGCAGATTTAAGTGGGGGTGGGGGTATGGCGAGGACAGAGAGAAAAGGTGGAGATAGGTGGATGGGAAGTCCTGAAGAAACTAGTGGAACAGAAAGCAGAAGGGGTGACCTAGAGATGTGAACAGGAGGAGGAAACGGAGGCAGACAACCAGACGCAGAGAGTGAGGCAAAGGGGGAGGAAAGATGGAGAGATTGGGGGACCCGGGACCCGACCCCGTGGGGGTGGGGGTGGGGGAACGTCGCACCTCGGAGGGCGGGGCGGGGCGGGCGGGCGAGGGGCGGCGCTAGGGCCCGGGGGAGCGGCCTGCAGGAGCGCGGCTCCCCGCCCGTCCAGCCCTCCGGCTCCGGTCCCGAGCCGCCCGCTAGTCGGTGGAGGTGGCTGCGGCGGCGGCGGCCGGGGAAGGGGCGCCCAGGCGGGAGGGGCGAGGGTCTCGGGGCGGGGCGGCCTGACGGACGCGGCCAGGTGCGCAGAGTGGAGGCGCCCGTGAGCCGGGGACGCGGAGGCTGGAGGTGAGTGAGGGGAGCCGGCTGGCAGGGGTGCGCGCACCCAGCGCACCTCGCCCTTCCCACCTGTGCGGTCGGGTGCCGCCCGGATGGAGGTGGCACCTCTCGGCTCCAGGCTCCCCAGCAGGGCGACCTGGCCAAGGGGCTGCTGCGCTCGGGGCCTCAGTTTCCCCGTCTGCACGTGCGGCGGAGGGCGGGCCGGAGGATCTCCAGGCTCCGGAGCAGCTCCGGGAAGCCTCTCCCCGGGCAGCGTGGGCGCCCAGCCCGCGCCCCGGCCCCGGCCCCACGGGTGGGCCGCCGCCGGAGGTCTGCGCGCCCCAGCCGCCCGGGGAAGGCTGGACTCTGCCCGGGGTTGACATGGGCGCCTGCGGGGCCGCGGAACGGCGTGTGCTCAGCCGCGGCCCCCCTTCCCGCGGGCGGGGCAGCTGGCGCGGGGTTCGGGCTGTGCGGGCGAGGCACGCAGGACTGAGTTGTCTGACGGCGGGGACCCCGGCCCGAGCCCCACCCGGGAAATCGGGGAAATCGAGGCCTAGCCTGAGCTCCTAGGGGAGAGCGGGGACTGTCCTATGGCTCCACGTCTAATGCTCACAACATCACGACTCTTGCTCCATTTGCCACGTGAACACGGGGGCCCTCGCGGGGCCCCATTCAGGGCCCTGACAAGACACCCCCACCCGCCGTGCTCGCTGTCCGGGTTGTCCACAGGGACAGGAGTGAGCAGGGAAGCAGCACCCGCCCCGCTCCCACCCTGTCCCGAGTGGCAGGTGGCACTGGAATGAACCCACTTGCTGTGTGATCTTGGGGCGAGACCCCTGCCCCCGCTGGCTCCCAGGGAGAGGGTGGGAAGGGGGCCCCAAGGGGACAACTACAGTGCTGGTGGTGGCTGTAGGGGTGGTCGGAGTGTGCCCCACCCCTGCCGTGTTGCAAGGAGTCGGCTGAGACAGGATGCTGGCCAGAGGGACAAGGGGACGCTGGGGTGAGGGACTGGAGTCTTTACTGGTGCCAGCCTGCCTGTCACCAACCCGAGGCCTGGCCCCCATCCTGTGCTGGGACAGAGCCCCCCCACAAACTATGTACCGTGTACCTCAGGCAGTGGACTGGGCCCCCTTAGGGGAGTGAAGATGGCCTGCTGCTTGAGGCGGGTCCCCTGCCTCTGTCTCCATGTGAGATCTTGGGCTGGCTCCTCCTCCTCTGGGCCTCAGTTTCCCCAATGAGGGAAATGGACTAGGATCACTTAATTTGATGCTCAGAGAACTTCCCACCTGGCTCCCACTCACCACTTTTCAGGCCGCCCCCCACTTTGCAGGCCCTAGGCCAGCCACCCCATCTCCCAAACTAGTACCCAAATTAAACTGTGGTTGGAATCAGCATTTACATGGTTAAAATAAGCCTTTAACTCCTTCCCTCCTTGTAGGCTGTTGCCCTTCCCCTAAGGCAGTGGTTGCACATTAGAATCACCTGGGAATCTTTTTAAAATCCTGATTTCTGGGCCCCATCCTCTGGAAATTCTGTTTCTTTGTTATGGGGTGGGGCCACAACATTAGTAACAAAGAAACAGAATTTCCGGAGGATGAGGCCCAGAAATCAGGATTTTAAAAAGATTCCCAGGTGATTCTAATGTGCAGCCGAGGTTGAGAACCACTGCCCTAAGGTGAACAAAAGGAAAAAGACCCTGCCCTAGCTGGTTTGGCTCAGTGGCTAGATCGTCGGCCTGAGGACTGAGGTCCTGGATCTGATTCCGGTCAAGGGCACATGCCCAGGTGTGGGCTTGATCCTCAGTGGGGGGCGTGCAGGAGGCATCGGGTCAATGATTGTCTCTCATCATTGACGTTTCTATTTCTCTCTCCTTCTCCCTTCCTCCCTGAAAATCAGTAAAAATATTTTTTAGAAAAAGACCCTGTGACAATCAGGTGCCTGGTTCCCAACTGATCCCTAGCCCCTTCAGTCATCATTTTACCTAATCTCCCCATTTTAGAGTTGGGGAGACTGAGGCTGGAGAGGGGAAGAGATTTGCCCAGGGTGATTCTGTGAGTAGAAGGCAGCAGAGCTGCCTTTCCTTGGAACAGAGTTGCTGCCTTTTTTTTTTTTTTAATTACTCTTTTTAAAAAAATGTTTTTATTGATTTTAGAGAGAGAGGAAAGGAGAGGGAGAGAGAGAGAAACATCGATGGGAGAGAGAAACATTTATTTGTTGCCTCCTGCATGCACCCTGATGCGGGATGGAACCAGAACCTGGGCATGTGCTCTGACCAGGAATCGGACCTGTGACCTTTTGGTGCAAAGATGATGCTCCAACCAACTGAGCCACTTGCCAGGCCAGTGCTGCTTCTTGATAAGTGGGAGGGGCACACATGGCAGAGGAGCCTTCTCTCTATCTCCTCTTCACCCCCCCACCCCACCCCCACCGGACCGGCTCCATGGTTGACATGCATCCCCCAGACCTGGCATCCATCCCCCTGAGCCTGTATCCCCCTGAGCCCACGTCACAGCTCTGGGAGGTAGGCTGGGCAGGGTCAGCACACTCCCTCCACCTGCCAGGGCTGTCACCCACAGGCCCAACACACCTCCAGGCCTCGGGGCCTGGCCTGGGAAGGCACCTTTTCCTTCAGAGCAGCTCCCAGGCTTCCAGACATGAGCTCATCGGAGCGGCTGATGCCAGGAAGGGAGGGACTGAGGGGGAAGCAGTCAGGGCCCAGACTGGGCACTGTGGGCCCCTGGGGAAGTGGAGGGGTGCTGTTGTGGAGGACTTGCCGGCCCTGGCCCCAAGGTAGTGTGGCAGCAGGGACAAGATAAGCCCGCAGAGTCGACTGGGGTGGGGATGGGGACAGCCTGCAGTGCAGCAACCTAGGTGCTAGCCACTTGCTTGCTGTGTGACCTTGGGTGAATCCCTTGCTCTCTCTGGAGCTCAGTGTCCCTGGCTACCGGGGTTGCAGGGGAGGAGGGGGGACCTTTAGGCAGGCATTGGAGTTGCAGTCAGGCCCCTGCCCTCAAGAAGCTACATGTTAATTGGGTAGATAGTTAAGAAAAAGCGAAGCAAAGACATCAGCAAGGTGATTCCAGAGAGATACAAGGGGCACCGTGAACTGTAGGCGATGCCGCTAAGACGGAGAGGGGCTACGTTGTGCTGGTGGTTAGGGAAGGGCTCTCTCTGGAAGGACATTGGAGCAGAGGCCTGAATGTTATCGGAAGGTGTGGTCATGGCTGGCTCATGACCAGAACTCAGGTCTAGAAGAATGGGAGGGATTTGGTCGGGAGGAAAGTGTTTCTGAGGATGGTGAAAGGTCGAAGCAGGAACTGCAGGTATGAGGGGGCGGGACAACGGCTACGGCTGTGAAAATGCCTTCATTGCTCCGGGCTTCGGGGCTTCGGACTGCAGACCCGCCCGAAGGAGCCTGGGACCCGTGACCTGGTCAGACGGGTGGCTGGGCTCTGTTGAGTTCGCCCAGTGTGTGTGTGAGCTCAGAGTCCTTTGTGAACTGTCCCGGAGGAGGAGTCAGTGTGGGGACAGCCTCCCGGCCCTGTAATTCCAGAGGCTTACAAAAGCCCTCTCTCTCCAGAATGAAATCTTTACCAACTGGCCACTGCCTGAAATTCCACCATCCTCGCTTCATCTTTTCCACTTGGTGAGGCAGTACTGCATACCAGTGGGTGACCCTGCACTACCCTGCCTGCGGCCCAGGGCTGCTACCGACGGACCAGATTCAATCTGCTCCCGTACTGCCGGCTTCCCGCGAGGCTAACGCACAGATGCAGATGCCGTGGCCGGAGCCCTGGGTTCCCAGCCGAGTCGCTGGGAGAGCTGGAGCATGTTATATAACCTCTCCAGGCTTCTGTTTTCTGTCTATAAGATGGAAACAATCATAGATCTTATCTTGTACTGTTGCTCTGAAAATTAAATGAGCTAATACTGCTTAAAAAACCACACCCTATTACTTATTAAATAGTAGTATTATCATGTCTTGATCTCTGTTAAAATAGGAAGCCCTTGGGGAGATGGACACTCACTCAGGACTCATATCTCAGTTTAAATTACTTCTTGGCGTTTGGCCAGGAACAGGTTTTGAGGGTGGGAGGATGGGCACAGCCCAGTGGAAAGGGCCTGACCTGCGCTTCAGGAATGGCTGCCTGAACCTCGAGTCTTTGCTAACTGGCTCGCGGTCTTGGACAAGTTATTGTGCTTCCTCTGAGACTCAGGCCTCTGTTCTGAGCTGCCATGAAACGGGCTAAGAAGGATATGTGGGGGCCGTGGGGGTGGAAGAGCTCAACAGACTCCAGAAACATGGGGTCAGCAGGAGGGGCTATCGAAGGGGCAGGCTGATGAGCCCCACAGGCAGGAGAGCGGGCTGAGCCGAGACTTGCATTTATCCTCTGGAATAATATCTCTTAGAGATGAAGAGTGTTCAAAAGACAAGGCCAGTGCTCTCATGTTTATGGTCATTGACTATGTGCCAGGGGTGTTCCAATTTCTTTACATGCCAACAACTACGTGAAGTACTATTATTATCAGCCTTTTACAGACGGGAAACTGAGGCACAGAGAGATTAAGGGAGCTCCCAAAGTCACACAGCTGGTAAGTGGCCAGATTCAAACCCAGGCAGCCTGGCCCCAGAGCCCGTATGCTACTACTGCACCACATAGTCTCTCCTGCTTTAGATGAAGTGTCAGAGGCTCAGAGGGGCCAAGCTACCTGCTTAAGAACACACAGCACTCCTCCTCGATCCTCATCACCTCTGCCCCTCAGGTCCTAGCAGAAGCCTCACTGGGTCTGAGGTCTGGGGCCTGAGCTTGGCCCTTGAGCTCGCTCGGCCTCTCTCCCCTTCCCTCCTCCCTCAGGAGCAGGCCAGGGAGGGTCAGGTGCGCCTGGGAGGGCTGTGGGCAGGGGAGGCCCGGCCAGGGCCTGATGAGTGGGCGTCGTTAGTGCTGTGAAGCTTGAGTGGATCCCATGGAGTCTGACTGCCTCCCATCACTGTACACATGGGGGAAACTGAGGTCAGAGAGTCCAGGGAC